TGTCTACGCCAGTAGAAGAAGAAGTTTTACATGATATATTCAACGTTAGATGAACAAAACTATATAAATCTGTAGCAACATGTTGCAAGAGTATACAAAATAGGAGAGAGAAACACCCAAACTTCGGAAAAGTGGGGAAAGTGCAAAAGAGATTAGCAAACGTTTTTGCAGGTTAAACTTCCTCTATTCGCGCTTTTGAAGTTCACATTCTGAAAACAGCTATTTTTGAAGCAGTTTTAGATCGAAATAAAATCGAAGTTCTTAAAATTAAAATTTGATTGTATTCCCAGCGATAGATATTGATCTTATAAACACCATATTAAAATTTCAAGTGAGTCGGATGGACAGTTTTTTTATCATCAATGGCACGCCGAAAAAAGTAGCTTTGAGATAAATGAGTTTTAATGTTTAGAGTGTCTATATTTTAGATACCCGTGCTACCTGCTAAAACGGCTGTATAAGCTAAAATAATGCGAATATCCTTCCAAGTATACAGTATAATCTTAAAGGACTATACTTTCGAACTATCAAAAAAAAAATCGATTTTTTGAAAATTCTAGACCACCGGGACCCCCTAAATGTACACTAAAGCTTATAACCACAAAAAGTACTTTCCTTGGCTTGTATACAATTTTTCATTTAATTTCTTTTTTATTTTGCTATTAAGGTGCGCCACTACTGCATGCAAATAGAATGCTAAGCTTTTATCCGTTTGCTCTTTTGTTGTTTCTCATTTTTGTACTATATACAAATACATATGTATATATACATATGTATATGGTATGTACACAAATGACGTTTTTTTATTATATTAATTAAATTATAAAAGTTCTTATCTCTTTAGTTATGCAGTGTGTTTCTAAATTGTTAGATACGTACGTACATATGTATAGAAGTGTATGCAGAGAGAACAAGTATATGGCCTTAAACGCTACGTTTACTTTCTTTGTATGTACTAATTCTTCGTTACAGGTGTATATATTTTTATGCGCTCATATGCAAAGCTGTTTTTATTGCACCCAAATGATTTGATATCTAGCACTAAAACTAACTAACCTTATTATACTTACATAGGTACATAAATACACTGTACATACAAATCTACAGGAACAATTAGTTTATATACTACTTTCAATTTGTATGCATTAAGTTTGCTTGCTATTTGGTTTTTCAACCTTTACTCCTACATATCAAATATGCACACTCTACTTTGTGGTTAAGAACATTTTATTGATGGTTTTCGTGGCAAATGTATTCATTGATGGTTGAACCTCAATGGCACTGGTTTCATAAATGAATTTGTTGTTATACCGCAAAGCATTCAGTTAAATATAATATAAATGTATTTATTTATACTTGAATGCTTTGCAAGATCACATTTCCCAGTTGCGGTTTTGTTAACAAGTTTGCGAGACTTTTTTAATGTCAAGTCAAACCCTTAATACCTTTTAATATATGTATATGCAAGATTTTATAATAAATTTCAAATTTTCAGAATTTTCAGAATTTTATCTAATGTTAGGATTTTTATTGCCCGTTTTTATGTTGAAAGCGGAAATAAAGCTTGCGATGTAATCTCGGACTTTGTTGGAAAAATAAACATTTTATAGATATGTACATATGACTAAAAACACACAAACATATTATATTTTTTATAAAGATATATATGATTTCTTATAATAGAGTTCTTATACAAATTTAAATTTTAACTGAAATACAACATGTTTTACAGTGAAAGCTTTGCCGGCAAACGACAGCTTCCAGTTCCCATCAAAATTTTATTAAAATATCAAATTATATATTGAGTAGTCAAAAAAGTCTTTTCCTAGTTTTAATCAAACTTCAACTTATTTTTTTTTTCTTTTATATTCATAATGAACTTTAACGAACCAAATATGTACCATTTTGCCACGTTTCCGCAAGAAACATTATTCCAATCGTTTAAAACTCCTCTGGTTTCTCGGCAAAATACTGCGACAATTAATTTTTACAGGCTTGTCTGCCAACTTTACTCCATGAAGGGAGTTCTACATTGACTGAAACAAATGGTAGTCCGATTGTGCTGTCAGGGCTATTTGGTGGATGCATCAAAACTTCCCAGACAAGCTCTTCCAGTTTTTGACGTGTCATCAAATATGTGTGTGGTCTAGCGTTGTTCTGATAAAAGACGAAGTCTTTCTGTTGATAAGTTCTGGTCATCAGCTCATAGTGGATTATTCCTTTCCAATCCCACCAAACACTCAGCACATTATTGTCGTATTTGAAACACTTTTCGTTTCCTGTTACCATTCGCTTCAGAAATGGTTCGAATTGATTTCGTTTCAGCAAAGAATCTCAGATGTTAATTCGATTCACAGAAAATTTTTGTGGTACCCAAACATCGAACATCTTTTTGTAGCCAGCCTTTTTTAAATGGTTCAACACCGTTTGATGTTGAATGTTAAGTTCCTTACCGACGTCATTGCTGCTATGTGACGGTCCCGGTCCTGGTCAATCTTTTCCATAATTTCAGCAACTTTGCTATACGAACTGATACAGCATCGCCTCCGTAAACTTCACAAATTTCATTGGTGACTGGTATTCTTTTTATACAAAAATTTGAAAATTTGGTGAATTTCTTTATTACTTTCACTCATTTTTGCAAAGCTGTAACCTTTTTTCAACTTCCCCGAATTTAATTTTTTTTTTATTAAATAGAGCTTAAAATCTCACCTTTCCAACACTATATGGTATGACGTTGTGATTGGGCACTTGAGATATAATATAGGACTACAACGACATCTATTGATGAAATACGAAATGACTTATTCGACTACCCAATATGTATGGAAATGCAAGCTGTATATATGTACATACACAGATGCTTCAGTATACATAAATTAGTGAAATCTATTATTAGAAATTAACCTAATTACTAAAGATTATTTTCTATAAATAAGTATATACTAATATATGTATGTACGTATGTATGTATATGAGCGCCATTGTATTACGTAAATCTGTAGAATTTCCTCAATTGCATTCTTTTCTAAATATGTCTGCACCAAAAACTCGGGACTTCCGTTCTACATATATATGTAACTATGGGCATGAATAACAATATCCATAAATAACAGCAAAGTCTGCTTTTCATATTTGACACAATAGCGTCTACTTGATTCGAAGCTTAATTCGAGACGCGTACACATTTATTTATATGTATTATTCATATGTATATAATTTATTTTGGACACATACATATGTGTGTATATTCAAATGGTTACCGCACTCTGTTCCGCATTAATATTGTTAATTTTTTAATCGTTTTTAATGCCCTGAAAACTTGATTCGACATTCCAAAAAAGTGAAGCAATTCAAATTATATTGTATATAATATATATACGCAGGTGACGGATGTAATTTGAATTTATTATTTATTGTCATTGCGTTTCGAAGCTGACCATCCGCTCAAAAATAACCAAACCTAAAAATGTCACAAAAATTTGAAAACTCGACCTAAAGAAATGCGCAGAAATTTCCAAGGGTGTTAGAGAATTTGGCGCACTAAATAGAATAATATGAGACTCTCTCATCGTTGGGAATACTCGCAAAACAACTTGTATATTCAGAATGCTTTCTTATCACCATATTCTCAGAAGCATTTTTACGTTATATTATAAGCTTTACTTTATAAATAATAAATGTACTTGTAGATAACAAGTTTGTTGTTATACTCTCAACATGATGCACAGAGCATATTCATTTTTATACCCTGAACAGGGTATATTAAATTTGCCGCGAAGGTTTTTAACACCCACTAGGAAACGTCGGAGACCTTATATAGTATATATGTACATATGTACATTATATCAAAAAAGTAAAAGAAATTTGTATTTTAAATTCTCTAGGTAGAACTGTCTTTAACTAATATGTCAAATATGAGAGCGATCTTCTTCTTCTTGATTGGCGTAGTTACCGCTTACGCGATTATAGCCGAGTTAACAACCGCGCGCCAGTCGTTTCTTCTTTTCGCTACGTGGCGCCACTTAGATATTCCAAGTGAAGCCAGGTCCTTCTAGACTTGGTCCTTCCAACTGAGTGGAGGTTTTCCTCTTCCTCTGCTTCCCCCGGCGGATACTGCGTCGAATACTTTCAGAGCTGGAGTGTTTTCGTCCATCCGGACAACATGGCCTAGCCAGCGTAGCCGCTGTCTTTTAACTCGCTGAGCTATGTCAATGTCGTCGTATATCTCGTACAGCTCATCGTTCCATCGAATGCGATCTCATTCGAGGCTGTTGTTGCGTTTTCATTGGGGGTGTTTTTTTACGTGGCCCAAGACAGCGCACAACCCTATGCAGGGGATGTTTCGCCTTCTCACTTTAGCTCGCCTTAAAATGGATGTTCTTAGGCTACCCAGAGGACACTTGGTCAAAGACCGGAAGTCGTGAGCTGCTTGAGTCATATGTAAAAAATCGTTTCTGACCACTCCCAAGTGAATGGCGATCAGAGAACTTTCCACACTTGCGTCATTTGTCACTATGGAATATAGCTGCCGGATATATTCATGAAATTTTGTCATTTTATGCTAATTATGTACCGAATATATTGTTCAGTTGCGACCACTAAAGAAAAGTTTTTATTTGTATTAGAGTATTATAGTTTCGATTCAATCGACTGTTTTTACCCAATGATGGTTTATTCAAGGCTGTAGTTAATGCGACTTCAAACTACTAGTTAGAAAGATATAACGCATAATTTCAAGACTGGCAATGTGCCAGCCCGAAATAGAACAACATTTTATAAGTTCTGAAATAATTTGTAATGAGTTTTTATATTTTATTGAAAAGTTTGATGTTTTAAGTTAATTTAGCATTGAAAAAACGTGTCATCGGTATAAAACCTTTGCCGCTTTCTTACTTATACATATGTATATTGTTTCATATCTTTGGTACTTGCAATAAACGAGCTGATTATATGCAACTACATAAAATAACCTTTTGCTTCTCTTCTTATAATTTCAGATACAAAGCGACGAACGATAACTTTATGCAGTGGAAAACAGTAGCAAAACGGTTTAAGCATAGAGTCTCGTAAGACGTACACATCATTGTGGTTCATATGAGCATAATATGTTGTGATAAAAATTGTATTTTTTTACCGCTCATTTTTGTTGTTTACAAAATTTGATTGAAAACAAATACATATCAACAATATGAGTAGTCGTCAAAATGACTTGGCCGCGTACAGTGCGAGGCGATTAAATCGCGCAACATTCGTTCAAATTAGAAATTACTAATTGTATGAAGTGAAATAGTGATTCAAAGTGCATTTAAAAAAATATCTGTAAAAACTTGTTTATATTTTAGAAATTTTGCGCTTATTGTCGCGACAATAAAAAAATGTGTAATAGAAAGTAAAATTACTCACACTTAAGCTTTAAAAAAAACATTAATTAATAAATACATAAATGAAATTTCAAATTAATTGCAGATCGCTTTTTGGCATTGTTTTAAGATGTGATTTCATTGCGCAAACTCTCACACAACTATGTTAAAATGTATAGTAAAACATTAATAATGTGTTAAGAGATCAAAAGTGAAAAATTGACGCAGCAAAAATAAAAACAAATATATTTGTTTACAAACCAGTTTTAGTTTTAAATGATTTGTACAAATACTTCAACACATCGAAATCAAGATGAGACTTCCACACACGTCGATAAGGCACACAAACCCTCGGAGAAGCGGCGGTTTGAATAAAACGAGCATATTTGCGGCATTACTATTTCTACGCTTAACCACATTCTGGAGAGTTCAAGCCGGTGAGTACTAGTTTAAATAAATAAATACCTATGCTACATATAAACAGAATTTTAAAAATAAATGTTAAAAATATTTTATTATATGTTAACAGTTATTGACTTTTGGCGAAGAATAAGATTAGCTTGCAGTAAAGAAGTAGAAGGCTTGCTAAAAGTACATACATACATACATATGTATGCAATAGTATATGACAAAAATATTAGTGGGCAAAAAATATTAATACTTTTTAATTTAAATTTCACGGCAAAACCCATTTGTCGATATACTTTTTTTCTGGGTGACTGTCAGTAACAGTAACAATAACAGTTTAGCATACGTTTGTCTTTCTGACATACCTAAAATGCACTCGGCGATTTTTACGATGAGTAAAATTATTCAACAAAGAAGCTCTATTAAATTTTGTATATGGAAACAATCAAATGCTCAACATCAACTAAGGATCAATACGTCAATAAAATAAAGGAATTCGTGCTTGAGAATAGAGGATTAGCAATCAAAGATCTTACTGGCATCATAAGAATATTAGAAGAATCAGTGAAACTATTTTGAAAGATCATTTGGGTCTAAGAAAAGTGAAAGCACCATTAGTTCCAAAATCACAATTTTTTTTTAAGCAGTGCCGCGATAGCGTCTGTGAATCAATGCTTTCCGATGTCATTAAACGTATTATTACTGGCGATGAGTCTTGGATCTACACTCACGACCCGGAAACAGACGATCAATTGGCCGAATGTCGTAACGAAGGTGAGCAGAAGCTGAAAAACTACGCAGTTTTCTTCAATTATCGAGGTGTGGTACAAAGCCAATACTTGCCGACCAACGAAACTGTCAGCAAAAAATACTATTTGAGTGTTATGCGTCGTTTGATCGAAGTTATTCCTAAAAGGAGGCCGGAATTATGGACCGGCAACTCATGTTTTTTGCACCACGATAATGCACCGTTATACTGCATACCGCATTGATTTTTCGTGAGTTTTTCGTCCAAATTTCAACCAATATCGTGTCGCAACCACCGTATTCGCCTGGTTTAGCTTCTTGTGACTTCTAGCCGCTCCGGCGAAACCGGCTTGAAAGCTATTCCGGAAATTGACTGTTTCGATAATTGGACAACATGTTGACACAAGTGTATTGGGGTCAAGGGGATTACTTTGAGGGCGAAGACTTAGGTTGTGAAGAATAAAGTAAGAGTTTTAAAATGTTAACAAAATGTTATTATTCATGTATGTTGATATGCTGATCCTTGCTATTGTACATTGTCAGACAAAGCGGGAACGTTAAAGAAATCTTGCTTTGGCAATGAAAACATGTATTGTCAACTTTTTTATATCGATGGCAATAATATTGAATAATCAAAAATGTAACCTCACTTTTTTGGTTGATTTTTTATGTTAAAAATTCAATGTTCTATTGAATACTTATGGATATATTAGAGTTAAGAAACTTATTAGAAGAGAGAAAGAAATTGCTGTCCATGGATCAGTTTTTAAACATTTCTTATCTTTAAAAGCCCGCACGGTTGAAGATTTTGAACGAGTTTACTGAACAGTCTAAGCAGTTCTCTATACAAAGAATGATATTTCACTTTTTCCTTTAAACAGAACTCGTATGGATTAAATACGTAAGACTATTTCCTATAATCTCAGTCTTTGCTGTCCAAAATAAGGCGCCAAATGCAATTTCCAAAAACATTTGGCACCAATTAAATTATGTAATATTGATGTAAAAGGCGCTGAGGTTGATATAATTACACTTGCATGCTTGTATGTAAATATGTCTCATGTAATTAATTTCAATACTTAAAAAACAAACAGTAGCTTTGATTCTACTGTATTGACATGTTGTTATCGCCTACAATATATGTACACAATAAATAATTATCTCGTAAATTACACTTGTTGCTTTAAACACCAATTAAACCCTTTAAGTAAACTAAGCTCGCCGCAATTGCTTATGGCTACTATAACAAAACTTCGAAACCTATGTATCAGCAATTACTTACACACATACTTACATGTATACATTACGTGCCATTGTTTATATACGTACATATGCATTTCATATTTCACAGGAGAATACTTAGATAAGAGCGTACATATGCATATATGCATATATTTGCATATAAAAATGTGTAAATGTACAGTGGTGGTCATAAAAATAGCAACGCGATAAGACATTGGTTTGAAAATTGAGAGTTTTTGAGAAAATATGGACATTAATTTATTTTAATTTATGATGTGTTATATTATTAATATTATTTACCGATTTTTTGGATTTTTGAATAAAATAAAAAATGTATTGTTACAAATCAAGTAGCCAGTGCTTGAATTACTTGATTAAAACTTAAAATTTTTTTGATCAATTGTCGTTTTGATATGCTCTCATATTTCGCTTATTAAGTTTTTTTAATAATTTGTCAAAATTCTAATCCTAAAATAATTATTATTCACTTACAGCACACAGTAATCAAAAGTAATTTGCTCTACTGGAATTATTAAAATTTGCTACTTAAATAATATCAATACTTACTTGCCTATGTTTGTAGCTATGCATATGTGTGCGCTAAAAAACATGGCAGTCTGAACACTTTTGTAATGTAGTTGGTATACATCCATATGTATATACATATGTTTCATTGCTTGTGTTTACTTTTTTTCTATTTGTTTAGCAATAATCGTTTCTAAAACCATTTTTTATTATTTTTATGAGCCTTGGGAAAATTCAAATGTTTGTTGTTATTTATTAGCGTATACTGAATTTTGATTTCCTTCATTGACATTAAATATACATACATACATAATGTATACGCTTGTTTATAAATAAATTGTTGACATTTTACGAAATGATGCCAAATAATCACAATATCTCTCGCAATATTAGAAGTTGATAACTGAGAGGTAGGTAGGAGTGCAGCCCTGTTTTATTTCCGCTCAATTAGCACTAGCTGTGCCACTTTGGTCGTAGACTTTATGTTATTGCTATCACTTTTCATCTCCTCTTTCAAACCATTTTGTGGTTTCGATGAAGATACAATGTCCGATATCCTTTTTTAGACATCCATTCAAGTTTTGGTGTTTGTTGGATTCCAAGTGTTCTGTGTCGAATCTGCAATAGGGCTCGGCATTCACAGAGAAAGTGGAAAATTGTTTCCTTATTCCCTACTAGTTCGCAGCCTCACCAGATGTTGTTGTAGGGCATACCCATTTTGGACGCATGTTCTCCCAGTAGCCAATGCCTTGTTATAGTAGCAGTTAGTCTGTAGATACTGTTCCTGGACCTATTTAATAAGTCGTTAGTTCTTTTCTTGCCATATGTTGAATAATAATGTATTTTGTTATACTTTTCCATCTATTGTTTGCTAATCGTTGAAATTGTAAATTTTGCTCTTTCCTAATCGATACTCCATAGCAGGCTTGGATTCGTTTAGAAAGTCTCCTTTTGCCAACTCGTCTACTTTTTCGTTGCCGAAAATGTGGCCGGGAACCCATATCAAGTCTAGGTGGAGCTTGTTTTCTAGTGAGCTCAGAATAGAGAGGGTCTGACCTGCCTGTTGTTATTGTTATTTATTATTGCCGAATTAAGAGTTTTCCTAGTTATGAATATTTTTTATACACTTAAGGTCTTTAGGTTAACCATATATTTTTTATTACTAATCGGAATAGTTTGTTTTAATCTTTATACTTTAATAAAGGATAATTAATTTACTTATTTAAAACAAATAACTAGAAATAATCTTGTCAACAAATTATATTTAAAAATTAAACAAAATATATTGGGCACTCGAAAAAGTATTTTCGTATTTTGTCAATAGATGTCGTTGCAGTAGTATATCTCCAGTGCTACCAATCACATTGTATCATACCATATAGTGTTAGCAAAATGAGAATTTAGTTGAGTTGAAAAAAGTTACAGTTTTTCAAAAATTAATGAAAATAATAAAGACATTCGCTATATTTTGAAATTTTTGTATAAAAAAGGCATTATTTATGCAACGCAAACCTCCAATGAAATTTTTGAAGTTTACAGAGACAATGCTGTATCAGTTTGTTCGCACCAGAATGGTTCGCTTGTTTCCGTTCGGGAAATTTTGAAATTTCGATTTACACTGATGAAAGTTTTACACTGATAGAATCTCTCTCTAGCGGAAAAATGTCAAAAAGTGGTCGGCCAAAATGGTACATACTTCTTTATTTATTTATTAGCATAAATATAAAAAAAAAGTTAAAGTTTGGTTTAAAATAAGAACAGACTTTTTCGACTACCCAAAATTAGAAAATTAAAAAAAATGTATGAATAGCAATTAAAGTATTATGTGTGGAACACAATGCTAGCGACAGACTGCAGCAGCACGACAGTGCACTGAAAACGGCGTTGTGAATCCTACTACTACAAGAACGTTTGTGAGAGGGCAGCAACATAACAATGGCGGGCATGTACACAAAACAACTTAGTTGTCCATTTTGAATGTACACAATTTCGTTGTGGCCATACTAATATTTTGCACTTCAATGAAATTTTAATATTTTGTTCAAAGTGAAATTTTTAAGCAAAAAATAAATAAATAGGTAAATTTATTTGTTTTAAATTATCAATTGTTATTACAAATGATGTAACAGAGCTATTTTATGCTTTTATTTGTAAAATAACATCAAGATTGTTAGAGCTGTGAATAATTTTACATTTTACATATTAGTGGCATCACCACTCTACCTCATCTCTCTATCTTCCATTCTACTGTCAACTCCACTGTCGTCCTACTGTC